TAATTTCAGAGTGCTGGGATAATGAGCCGGATAATCGTCCATCAATGAATCAAGTAGTTGATAAATTAAATGCAATTGTTACGATAACTAATAACATAACAGAAAATAATCTTATGAATAATGATGAATCAAGTCTTCAACGACAGGGTCGTTTGGATAACATTGGAGCTGCTTCTATTATAAATAATTCATTTGGTGAAACATTTCGATTTAATTATGAATCAAATAATTCTGAAATTATTCATCATTTGGCTGGTCAGATGAATGTAGAAGAATTAGAATCACATATTGAAGATAGTTATGATGATACTATTGAACGTGTAACGCTTACGGAATTTAATAAGGATGACATATTAAACGCCTTCGGAGGATTAGAAAGATATCGCAAATTAAAAGTACTCGACTGTCATAATACTCAGATAACCACCTTACCAACTTTACCCAACTCCTTAACAATACTCGATTGTCAGAATACTCAAATAACAATCCTACCAACTTTACCAAACTCCTTAACAGTACTATATTGCTCTTATACTCCAATAACTATCCTACCAACTTTACCAAACTCCTTAACAAACCTCTATTGCTCTGATACTCCAATAACTATCCTACAAACTTTACCCAATTCCTTAACTTATCTTAGTTGCTCTAATACTCCAATAAATATCCTACCAACTTTACCCAACTCCTTAACTGTATTCTGGTGTTATAGCACTAAAATAAATAGCTTACCAACTTTACCCAACTCCTTGACGGAACTTTATTGCCGAGATACTCCAATAAATATCCTACCAACTTTACCCAACTCCTTAACGGTCCTTGATTGCTCTTCTACTTCAATAACTATTCTACCAACTTTACCCAACTTCTTAAAGGAATTTAAATGCTATGGTACTAAAATATCTATCCTACCAACTTTACCCAACTCCTTAACGATACTTGATTGCTATGAAACTCATTTAAATAGTTTACCAACTTTACCCAACTCCTTAACGGAACTTTTTTGTTATAATACTCCAATAACTATCCTACCAACTTTACCCAATTCCTTAACGGTACTCTGGTGTTTTAACACTCAAATAAATAGCTTAACAACTTTACCCAACTCGTTAACGGAGTTTTATTGCAATGATACTTCAATAACAATCCTACCAACTTTACCCAACTCCTTAACTAAACTTAGTTGCTCTAATACTCCAATAACTATCCTACCAACTTTACCCAACTCCTTAACAATACTCGATTGTCAGAGTACTCAAATAACAATCTTACCAACTTTACCCAACTTCTTAACGGAACTTAATTGCTCTTATACTCAAATAACTATTCTACCAAGTTTACCCGACTTCTTAACTAAACTTAGTTGCTCTAATACTCAAATAACTATCCTACCAACTTTACCCAATTCCTTAACGGAACTTAATTGTTCTTATACTCGAATAACTATTCTACCAACTTTACCCAACTCCTTAACTGTAATCTGGTGTTATAACATTAAAATAAATAGCTTACCAACTTTACCCAACTCCTTAACGGAACTTTTTTGCAATAATACTCCATTAACTATCCTACCAAACTTACCCAACTCCTTAACTAAACTTAATTGCTCTTATACTGAAATAACTATCCTACCAATTTTACCCAACTCATTAACATATCTATACTGTACAAATACTTTAATAACTAGGTTACCAAATTTACCCGATTCCTTAATGTATATCAGACCTTTATCTTTAAAATACTCAACGTCTCAATAACTATCCTTCCAAATCGAATTTTCTCGCCTAAATATTTAACCCTCTACATGTTCACGTTTCTTTTGAGAAGTATTTCACATAATTTAAAACACGGATTGCTAACAATCAAGTAATTCCCTAGAAATTAGTATCATTAAAGGATTTTCTATCATCATTTATGGCATTTCTCATTTATCACAGGATTAGAATATAGGGGATACCCTTAAAGTACTATCTTTCCATGTACTACAAATCCTGCATTAGATCCACTATTTTAATTCAGTGATCACTACAAGGGTTTTCCGATTCGATGTTTGTTAACATGTGACGCAATAAAGGAGATGAATTTTTAATACATAATTATCTTTTTTTTTTAAAAATATATATATATATATATATATATATTATATTTGGGAGGTAAAATATTCTCTTAACATAAATTTGTTTAGATTCGAATAAAAATATAATCAGCTTAAAATGATAAATTGTATGTTTCTGAGATTCAATTGCTTAGAACCGCAACAATCAAGTATTTAATTGTTGTTCTTTTTTTCTTAAGTTCAGCTTGAATGATCGCATCACACTTCCTAGTTGAGTTTATACAAATTAACCATTCAATATTTTTATAAAAAGAAATATAAAACTTTATTATGGTTGATGTGTGATAACAACTTCAACACCAGTTGATTACCTACCCATACCTATTTACTAGTTGCTATGATTCTATTTTGATTTAAGTTTTTATTTTGAGTAATAAGACTAAATAAAGGTTTACATATTATTTTGATTAATACAGCAGTCGATCTTAAAATCTTTTTTTTTTAAAAAAAAAAAATTGATAATAAATCACTTACGTTTGTTTTAATTGATTTGATTAAAGAATAAATACTTATCAATTTTATTATTCATTATATTCATACTTCTTCACCTTCAGCTTTGCAAATAATAATAATATAAAAAGGATGCAGAAACTCAATATCAATACTGATTTATCATGTAAGAAAAAAAAATTACAATTATTGAAAATCAAATTTGCATAGAGAGCTATATCATGTATTTGTCTTCTTTTATGGTCAATTGCATATAAGATTTATTAAATTTACGAAAATTTATCAAAGAATCATGCAGGATGTTTAAAGGTCAACATACTAATTGAATGATCGAAATGTTGTAATACTTGAATGTAGTATATTAGAATTGAATAAAAATGGATAAAAATTTTAGAGATCGCAATTACTAAGTGGCGCCTCTTATCAAGTTATGAATTAATAATCTATGCATCGATAAAGAAGGGAAGCAATGGAATAAAGTACAGAGATCAAACAAACAGTAACTGTTTTAAGTTTATCATTTAACAAATTTAACGTTTGCCATTTATTTATTTATTATATACGTAAGGAACTGTCATTTATAATTGCATATCTTGAACTTATTTTAAATGGCAAGTTACAAGTTTTATTAAATTAACTACATTCGAATTAAAATAATACAATTTTTAAAGAAGTACTTTATGGCAACTCATTCTGTCAAACATATCGATACTCTGATAATTAATTTTGGCTGATTTACATACCTTTGTTTTGTTTATGATTTGTACTTTCAATTACTAAAACACATGATTGTTTTTATGTCCCAATTAAGCAATCTGTTGAATGACTCACTGCGGCGATTATTTAAAAAGTGATAACAACTTCGATCTATTGGTTTTCTTTACCAATATTGGTTGCGCCTCGTAAAGATTATTAGTTTCACAAATATGAATGTTTTGGACGTGTGATTTAGTATTTTTGTTTATAAGTACATGCTTCATAAACTCAAAATTCTCACATTTGCAGGGCGTGCAAATTTTTTAGTCTCTAAAAAAAAAAAAAAAAAAAAAAAAAAAAAAAAACTTTTTTTGTTCTTTTTAAATTTTACCCTTCTTGATCAAATACTATATAACACGATAACAATGCTTTAGGCTCATCTTGAAATGGAGGAAAATCCAAAAAGAAAAATACCCCGAATTACGGTAATGATTCATTTCATTTCAAATATTTAGAAGAAAGGTGAACATTTATTTCCATTGTGAAATTACGGTTAATTATCTGCATTTGTGTAACTTAGCCGGATATGCATAATTCCACATATTATACAGGAAAGGAATGATCTAAGCCTTTTCGTTCAATAAACATATTTTAATAAGCTCAATAACTAAATTAAACAATTATTTTACCTTGTTATGTGTGTTAACATTTTTTTTTTTATCCAAAATAAAATCTTTTTTTAATAAAGTCAGATGAAGATCATCTTGTTTCTCAAAAACCGGTTGCCTCACTATCGGTATCTGAATTATCAGAATTTTATTTTTATGATTGCGAAAAATTTTTAAAGCTTAAATCAAGACAGAATCACGATGAGAAAAATGCTCGAATTACGAAAGGACCAACGTTAAAAACCTCAGAGAGACATCGTGGAAGAAAATTTGAAGTTGAAGTTGAGAATGAATTAAGAAATTTATATGGAGAGAATGTAATTAATTTTGAAAACGTGTCAAATGAGGCTAATATCAATTTATTAAAGAAAGCGAAAGTTGGTCAAATCTTTTGTCAAATGTCATTTAAAGTAAATGAAACATTCTATGAAAAGTTCAATTTAAAAGGTATCATTGAAATAAAAGATTTTAGACCGGATTTCATTAAAGTTAACAAAAAAAGTTACGAAATAATTGACGCAAAGTCTTCAAAGTGTGTACAATCTTCTCATAAGGTAAAAAACTTTGTTAAATTTAAAAAGATTTGAATTTAATGTTAATTTATTTCATACATGATTATTTTTAGTTTCAAGTTGCAATTTATGCGTACCTTCTTAATTTAATGGTTCGGGACATCAAAGTTTCAAATACATGTGGAATTTATTTGCCACCTTTCAATTTACAACAAATTAGTATAAAGGAATTGCTTCCGGAGATAAAAGATTTATTTCGTGAAAGGTTACCACGAATTATAGAAACGTCAATTCAAAATTTACCTTGGCATTTTGATTCAAGTTGTAAAAATTGTTACTTTGTGTATAATTGTAAAAAAGAAGTCAAAGGTACCCTTGCACTGATCCCAAACTTATCACGTAACCAATTAAAAAACATTAAGCGAGATCTTGAAACAGAAGAGAGTGTAATGAATGTTGAATTGGTTAATGACGTTGACATTGAAGATTTGGTAAAATATTTATCTAATACTAGTGCTGATGATGAACGAGCAAAGGGTATTAAAAAGATCATTAAGTATGATGAAAAGTTGAAAATCTCTCCTTATATGAAAATGAAGTCTGGGCAGGCTCAGGTATGTCACTTGCATATTTCATTTAGTAATGTAGGTGAACCTTTATTAATCATGTTAACATTTCAAGTTCGTTGGAGTTGCAACTACAGATTTTCCTCAAGATTATAATTTATTAATTACAATGTCATTGGATACCTTATCGTTAAAGCCTTTCGGATGGGGAATATGTCTTTATGCTCGCGATAAGAAAATCAAGCAGAAATTCCGACAATCAAAATCACTTTCAAAAGATGAAGATCTTAACAAGGTATTCATTTCTTTTATGGATGAATTCACTACTTTATTGGTGCAGTGTTTTGAACACCTAAAATCAAATAATTTAAAAGCTTGTGCCTTCGTGTATTCTAAAAAAGAAAAGGAATATATTCAAGATTCTTTAATAGAAATAATAAATCTTGAGAGGTCAAAAATGGATTTAAATGTAATTAAGCGTAAAGCCAGAATATGTTTATTTAATTTATTTGAAGATTCGAAGTTGTTATCAGTCATTAAGAATAATGAGGAACTTCCAGCACGTAACACGCGTGAATTTCCACGATTGATCGTTTTAGAACAATCGATAAGAGAAAATGTCGCAATTTGCGTTCCCGGATTTTATTGTATTACAGATATTTGGGAACAATTGGTGGTGCCAAAGTTGCATGATCAAGTATTGCTTAGGTCTTTAAAACCACATGTTAAATATATCGATTTTGAAAGTATTTTTACTTTTTGGCATTCTGCAGGTCCGAAGCAAGTGAATAAATTTCAATTGTTAAGAATTGATTTCGGATATGCAGTAATAGAAGCTTATTATGATCTACTTAAAGAATCAATTAACGACAACAGTACTTTCAAATTAATATTTGACGCACCTGAATTTACTTTAGCTTCCACCAAAACCTTTAAAAATAATTATTTGGGTAAATTATATTATTTCAAACTACTTGAAGCAAGAGTTGAATGTAAAGATAAAAAGCCTCAAAGGATGAGTGATTATTTGCAAAATGAATCTGCATATGGAATTAAAATTCAATTTGAAAAGTTTATTAATATAAATTCGGATCGGGTGACGCTATTCACTACTTTAAGTAACGAACAAGAATTAGAAAGCGATCGACATTATAAACAATTTATGCTTGTTGAGGATAGTCCCGAGGTGAGTATAATAATCAATTTTAGTTTATAAAAACCGAACCGGTAGTAATTATATGATAAAAAAATTAATAGGGAATTCTGGAGGCTATTAGATTTTCAGATTTGACCCATATGGATGACCAAGAAGTTCATTTCGAACAAAAATCAACATTTTTATGTGTTCTTAAACTTGACTTGCTAAATCGAAAGGTTTATTTAACGGGGAAGTTAGAATCAACCTGAATAAAGGCAAAACATATCGCCTTTATAAACGGTGTATCAATTTTAATTTGAATAAAGTCATAGACATGCTTATTGAAATTGATAATCGAGGTGTTAAGTCAGTGTTTATGGTTAGTATCTTTTTAGTTTCGTAAATATTTTGTTAATTCCATTATACTTTTTTCTAATTTTATTAATTTTAGGATCTCTTGGTAAATACAAATAATTGGTGTAAAGAAGAATTATTGGAAGGAAGACTTAAAATTGTTTCGGGACCAGCTGTAAATAGATTTATAATTTTTTTTTTTTGTTTTTATAAGGAATTATGTGTTTTCTTGATAATTTCATTGTTTTTATTTTAGAGTTCTGATAAAGTCGCGTCGCTGATCATGCAGCATTTGAGTCAGCCAATAGATCAAAATAGGAATTACATAATTGGTGTAACGGCATTGTCAAGGGAAGCTATTGAAAATTTACTGAAGGGTATTTCTGTGCCAAAACAAGTGAAGATTTTTAATATGGTTTATATATTGAACAACAAATCTTTAAACGGAAGAATAGTAGAATGTGAAGCAAGTACTTTACCTACAAAAATTAATAAGATTGGAATGCCCGGAAATCTTATTGTAATTGGAGGTACTGTTTGGGATTGGCATAAGTTAAGGAAAGCATGGAATCGTTGGCCTGGGTGCGACATTATGTTAATCGATGAAGGTTCCCAGGCAAGTAAATTTTATGTGAGTGTTAATATCGCGAAGTAGAATACTAAATTTCTTTCATTTTAATAGTTATTAGTTTCAGATGCTAGCATTGCGATTGAATGCTTGAAGCCAAAAACCGGAAAGTTAATTATTGCTGGAGATACGGTAAGATGAACTACATAAATTTTACCTTTGAACTTTTATATCTGAAATAAATTCGATTATTATATTATTTATATGAAGGAATTGAAGCCCTATATTCGAAATAAATTTCCTAATGATCATCCTTTCTTATTTGGATCAATCCAACAATGCTTGAATTCATTGATAATGAGAAATAACAAGCATTAGGCGCACCATTGACACGTGACAATATTTGATGATGAACCTACGTTTTTGAACCTAACGAGCGGAAATTTAACTTTGAAGTTATAAAATATTTTACCATTAACTCGAATTACTTTCAATATTATTACTGAATAATTTAACATATATGCATATTATTATCTAACTTTGGATCATAAGTTTATTTATAAAAATTTTAAATTATATTTTACAAGATGTTTTATATATCTTTTCAACCTTTCAATACCTAATTTTTTAATGCGTGAATTTTTTTAAAAAAATCCCTGTATCTTACAGTATGAACGTAACAATTATGAAAATAACTGATAAGGATTGTAAGGTGTATAATTAATTGTGGTATTAAAAAAAATTTGTATCACCCAAAAATTTACGTAAGAATCCGTAAAAAAAAGTTGCTTTTGTTTTTGGTCCATTATATTAAAATGATTATACACGATGGTTAACCAAAGAATAAGTAAATTGGTTTAAACATTATTCAATTTATTACAGTACCATGGCTGATGAATTTGAACGTCAAGGTAATAAAATTTTTGTTAATTCACAAAAAATATTTGCGAAGAAAATTATTATTCATCAAAAAATTTTCATTTTCAATTTTTATTTTTGTAATAAAATAATTCAAGCGTAGCTAATTCTAAGCATGATGGTCAAATGCATGCTTATATTTTACACGTGCTAATCGCGCGTGTACTATTTAAAAATTTTTTTTTTCAATTTTGAAGACTATTTAAATGTAATTAAGAAATAATTAGTACATATTGACTAAATATTTACGTTATGGTCACGTAATAAAAAAAAAAAAATAAATTTTAACTATTTAAGTATCGGATCTAACCAGATTAATATTATTGCCTTAAAGTCGAAATGTAGGGCACAAAAAAAAAATAGGGGTTACTTTATGCCGTTAGAAGCTGTGTTTACCACATGACTAGAGATCTTCACGGAATAAGTTATAAATTTCTCCGATGTTCATTAAACCTACCTAATACATCCACTTTTTATAAAACCATGGCAGCAAATTTTTTGTCGGATTTATCAAATGATATCGGACTACTTCTTTTCGGTGGAGATTATTATGATGTGATTATTCAGGCTGGTGAAGGACAAAATATGAAAGAATTCTTTGCACATTCATTAATTTTAGGAGCGAGATCGACGTATTTTAAGACCGCACTGTCAAAAGAAACCGCAAAAAAAGAAAATGGTAATATTATTTTCAAAATGCCAAACATTACTCCGGAATTCTTTGAATTAATCTTAAAGTTCTTGTATACTGGAATTGTTAATTTACATGATTTAAATGGAACACAAATGTTGAAACTTTTGGTCATGGCTGACAATATGAAACTTCAAAAATTAAGTGATTATATTCAATCTTACTTGATTGATAATCATGCTGAATATTTAAGTAATGAAGCTGTTGAAATCCTTCAAACCTTATTTGAATATGAAACTTTTGAAAACTTGAAGAATCATTGTTTAAAAATGATTGGTGAGAATCCAAAAATTCTTTTTGAGTCTCCAAGATTTTCATCATTAGAAAAGGATCAAGTTATAAGTTTTTTAAGGAAGGATGAACTTGAAATGGAAGAATTCGAAATTTGGAATTACATTCTCAAATGGGGTCTTTCAAAAATGCCGACTTCCTTAGATATTGATGATGTTTCTCACTGGGCATCAAATGATTTTGAAGAATTAGAAAAAATCCTTCATGATATAATTCCACATATTAGATGGTTTCATATTCCTGCAAAAGTTTTTTGGAAGAAAATTAGCATACTTGAACCAATATTTTCTAAACAATTATATAGAGATATAATTGGGTATCATTTTGATCCTAATACAACACCGAATACCTTAGTTTTACCTAAAAGAAATATTTCGTCACGACAAGGCACAAGTCATGACATTTCTCAACCTCAACAAAATCAACAATATAATTTTAATAATCTGATTGGATCAACTTTTTTTTTTGGCGTACCAAATGTTAATCAGCAACCACCACCACGGGGAAGAAAGTTTAGAACATTACGTAGATCACGCAGATAATAACATTTGATTATCTGGACTAAAGTCATGTGCAGGTAATCTTCCTTTAAGATATTAAATAATGATGTTTATGTAATAGCATGGATAATAGACTAAATAAATTATCAAAACTTGAATCTTAACTTCTGGTAAAGGTTAGAGATCTTAATACTAAAATTTAGAAGTTTAAGAGTACTATAATAAATAGGGATCTTATTACTTTTTTTAAATTGTTGTCATTGTACTTTTTAGTGAATCTTTATAATTTTTTTTTTTCGAAATCAATATTAGTAAAATGCAATTTTAACTGTGTAGATTGTACAGTATATTGATTTTATTGTTCTACTTTTCAATAAAAAAAAATTTTAACGTTAATAAAAGATCGAAATGTTAACTCATATTATACCTATTAATCAGCTTGGATGTGGGGGAGAAGGGTTAAAATTTATTTGTTTCATGTAATAGATTTAGAAGATTTTTTAAAAATTTTGATTTCATTTCATTAAATTTTGATTATATTCATTTTCTATTCTTTTTAATTTCAAATTCTTCTAAGATATTTTCATTTATAAAATTTTGATTAATATTTGAAAAACTTTATTATTTGAAAAACTCTAACTTTTATTAATCTCAGATTTGCAAAATTTTTGGAATTGCACAACGTGATCAGGAGGAGTATCAAACTCGAATATAAAATATAACGTTTTCAAACGATGAATTTATCTTCAATGTGAAAAGTAGCCAACCCCCGTAAATTGTGCAAACTACTCCGGTGTAACGTTATTATTTCCTCTTAATTATAAGATATCAACCATTTTAAAAGTGCTGTCATTCACCTTCTACTTTTTAATTTAAAGTTAAACAACTTGAAAAGATAGCTCTTTTTAAATTTTCATTTATAACCTTTGCTTTTCAAAAAAAACATTAAATTGTTCAAATACAATTTTTAAACCGATTGGAATACTTTTTATGAATCTTTCCATTTTTGAGTTAGACATACGTATGTCAGTTATCAGAAGTACACCAGATTTTGAAAGAATCAGCAATTTCTGTTTTAAACAACTTGAAAATTGTTCCTGATAAATTTAATAACTTAATTATTTGGTGTGTGAAGTATCTTAAGACATGTGCAGTATTGTATTCAAGCCCTTTATGATGTTTCACGCGTTCGAACTCATCTATGTCAATAAGTATAATATTTCCCTCATAATAATCTTTCAAAGTTTTGTTTATCAATATCGAATGATTCATTCTTTACATTAGGAATCAACTGAGCTGATAAATTTGAGTTGAAAAACCAATAAATATTCTTCCTTGTTTCAAAAATAGAAGGAATCAGTCTATATAACCTCTAAATTCGGTGTACATAATTATTTGGCAGATTCTTCTTAATAAGTTGTTTTATTTTTTTTTTTTAGAAATTTATCTGTGACAGTAATTTATCAAATCTCCATTGGTAACTAAGATGCATAGAAGTTCTTTATAGTCAGTAATTAATGGTTGTTGCTGCGAGATATCTTTTAAACTGTAAACGTCTATATAAATATTACATTCTAATGGTAAGTCGAAACAATTTATTTTGAGAATAAGCATTAATTTTAATGCAATCTTTATCTGGCTCGAATCTGTAATTTTCTTTGACTAATGTATCATTAAAATATTCAGATCTCCTTTAATGTTATTCATATATACCTATAAATTAATATATTTTAAAAGAAGACAACCGATCAAGAACCGTGTTATATTCTATTATTCTTCAACATTTGAAAACTAATTGAAATTATAAATTTAATATGTAAAATAATATTCCAAATGTAATTAATTTAATATATAAATATAACATTTTCAGATTCTCAGATACATTACAAGTGTTATCAAACTTATTATCTTTTTCCATCAATTTACTAGAAATTGTACCCAAAAGAATTGTATTACTTGTTCATCAGATATTACCTTAAAAATTATTCTAATTCCTTTTTTCAAAAAAAATAAATTCTTACGACGCATTGAATAGAATCTAATGCCAAAAGCCCATCTAAAGGGAAAAGAGAAATAATTAATTAATGAACAAACAAACTAAAACAATTTGGACACTTTTTGTTTCTCACAGCAATATTTTCAATTCTTTTCTAAGCTTGGGACTGAAAGGGTGTCCATTTATTTGTACAAATTTTTATCTGTGCTTGGATCTGAAGTCTTTAAATATAATCCCGATTTTTGTTGATTCAACATCATCCTTAAAATTAAAGATTAATTTATTTATCTAATTCTTATGAGAACAATTTTAAAATTTTACTAGTATTTTGCAATAATACACGATATACTACGAATTCTATAAAATACGTTAGAAAATTTTTTTTTCGAGTTTTCGATTTTTCGATTTCAATGATTGAAAAAAGGTAAATTTTATCGAGCTAAAATTTTGTTAATGTCTATGTTTAACATTGACTACATGAAGGACATTGAAAAAATCTTAGAAAATCAACGCATGCAAAATAGTAACAAGGATGCATGGGTGGGTGTAATATATTCATTATTAAATTAAAAATTTTCTTTTAAATTCGATCGACACAGGTGTCAGTTCATTTACAATAGATATTTTATCAGAATTTGAAATTAAAATGGATAAAAAACTACACTTTTGGGTATAGTTAATATTATTTCATCCAAAACTAAAATCCACATTCAATGTAAGTGATGTAAAGGGTGTAATTTATATTTGTAAAATTCGAATGAATCATTTCTTGTATTATAAAGTTTCGGTCAAAGTTTAAACATTTATGTGAAAAATCGTTGAAAATAATAATTAACTATTTAAAATAAATATTTGGGTATAAAAACGTTTAAAACTGAAATCGATATGTGCTTGAGGTGAAGCGCTAAAATAAATTAACTTTTGTAATCAAGAGAAACCTAAACCGCATAAAATTTAAATACAAGATTATTGAAAATTTTGACAAATGTACGAATATATGAAATACATTTGTAAATTAATGAATAACAAGGGACAATGAAATCACGTGCTAACCGGCCTTTATTTACTTGCAGCAAGTTTAACAAAGTATTACAATAAAATTTACTCTAGGTCGTTTTGCCAATTATTCGGGTGGGTAAATTAAAGTTATAAGGGAGGGAATGTGATTTCATGTCCCTTGTTATTCATTAATTTACAAATGTATTTCATATATTCGTACATTTGTCAAAATTAATATCATAACTTCCGGGACAATTGAATCACGTGCTACTGCGGAGTAAAACTAATTCAACAATCTGTTAAAGCACTGTTATTAGTTGTGCGTGGTGGCACTGTCTAAAATTAACTTTGACACCTGATTTCGTTCC